GTCTGAAGAAGAAATGCACCACTAAAAAAGAAGGCAAAAGAGTATCCCCTTTCCATTACGTGTGCATATGCAAAGGAAGGTAGATGAAGGAACGTTGGAAATATTCTATTTCAGATAAAATATATTGCATTTAACTATAATCTTGGCTGCAACTCAGCCTTCTGACCTTCTTAAAAGCTGCAAGAGGCCATCTGGTGATGCAGAGTTTGCTAATGATCTTAGAGGGCTGAGCAGGATCATTGATGGGGTACTGAGGACTGCATATAACCTTTGGCCATAGTTGTTCACTCCTGCAGGAGTCTGCAGCCAAGCTGGTGCTGCTGTCAGGATACTGTCTTCCATATCATGAATGTTTTCATTTTAAACCTGGTTTAGACTTAAAGCACTTCTTCAAATATACCACACTTTCAACACAGATGTATCTTCTGAAGGTAATTCTAAAAGAAGACTACAAGGATTCTTGTGCTCTATGCATTCAGTTCAGGGGGATTTAAATAAAGAACAGCACAAATTCTGTTGAGTAGCTCTGTATTCCTGGTGATTATGTGGACATCCATGGAATTTTCTTGGCCACAATAGGGAAGTGGTTTGCTATTTCCCTTTCAGGGTGGTTTCTTCCACTTCCCAGCCTAGCCTACATCTGGGATTTCAGTGAGGTCCAATCCAAGCACTAACCAGGTCCAATCTTGCTTAGTTTTTGTGGGATCAGCCAAACCAAACTGAACTTCCTGTGCTCAGTCTCAGAGGACTTTAGAAGAATCAGTGGACTTTAAAAATATATTTGGGTTTTAAGTCATGTAACACTAATACATAAGTATGATCAGAGCTTAATTTGTGCCAGGAATTAGCCCTAGAATATGTTGTGAATCAAGATAAGTGCTTCAAGCTTGTTCAGGTTTGCCTTGTTACTGTATTCATGTTTGTGCTTCTGCCTCTTTGGCAACACCAATCATGCTATTTTGCTGCCTATCCAGAACTTAATTCTCTTCATGTGGGAATAGATTTTATTCAGGCCCACTTGTCATCCATTACATGAACTCTCACAATTGTTGTCCAGGCAGTGATCAGGGGAGTGAGGGTCTAGATCAATGGAGACAATTAATCTGGACCCTCATGCATTGAAGGGTTCTTTTATCAAAGTTTATTACTGAGAATTGACGGTAACAACAATGGTTGATGCCATGAAAAGTATGAAACTTTTCCTCAAAGCATCACTTAGAATGCAATGTAAATATAGTTTATCCAGACTAGTTGGGACTTCCACCTGGACTTTGTAATAAATTTGTTCAGGACTGGAGCCTTAAAAGACCTGCCCCAGAGAATTATTAGGAAGATTTAGGCTCTGCAAGATTTTCATGCAGTTTCACTGCACATGGTCATAGGGTGTCTCTGCCTGTCATACTATGGGTAGCAATCAAATCTTTTCATGATACTGCCTCTGGCTGCCCACTTTTAAATTTGCTCACATTATGCTAATGATTTGTCTAACCATGGTTTGTGGAACAAATTAAAACCATGAATAAACCAGTTTGCCTAACTATGGTTTACTATACAAACCCAAAGTAGATGGGTTCACACATTGTTCTAAAGCACTTAACATGATTTCCAATGAGAACATTTGGAATCACACCACACAAAAGGTCAAAGGGAAACAAACTGAATTATGCTTAGCAGAGTAACAGGGTCCCAGTCACTTTATCAAAGAGAAAGTTTAATCTGCTGATAAATGCAGACCAAAATCTTTTGAAAAGTCAAAGGAGAGGAGAGTTAAACCAATCAGAAAATTCCTTCAAAGATACCTAAGATAATACTGATTAACTGTGGATTAAACATAGTTCAATATTTAGAGAAAACCATCCATAAAGACATTATAACTGATTGCTTTATTGATACTGTATGAATGAAAAGTACAATAGGTGCAGAATCCGGGCAATTTGACTCTTGCATGTTGAGTGCACACAAGTGAAGTATTTCAAGATACATCAACTCCCATCTCCCCCCTTCCCCACACCCTCCCCACAATAAAAAACTTAAGCAGACAATAATACATACAATTAGACAAAAATATCCCTAAAAAAAACAAAACAAGTATAATTCTTCCCTTCATTTAGTGCAGAGGCAGCAAGGTCCATCACCAAAAGACTGAGCCTTTGCAAATGAAATGGATGAAGTAAAACAGTGGGACCAGTTTGGGGAACCGTGCTCTTTCCCTCAGGTGCTATGGCTTTGCACCAGTGGGTTAAAGAAAACAGACCTGGTATGTGTTCCAGTAATGTTTGTGTTTATTTTTTAAGTGGATTTCCCCCATCATGCAAAAAAATTAAAAAAAAAAAAACCAACCAACATTTTTTTTTTTTTTGTAAACTATAATTGGCCCTAAAATCAGTTATGTTGTAACAATACAGGTGTTTTACAGGTAACTCCTAGCAGACTGAGCTGTGTTCCTTCCCCCTAGAATTTCATGTAGTATGCCAATTGCAACTCCAACCTCATCAAATTTTGATCCCTATGAGAGAAAGCTAGAAGACAGCCTCACCTTTCTACTACTCAAACATTGCATGCCTTAGTACAGATTTTGCAATCTCTTCGGCCAGCTTGAACTACTTTCAACTCAGTATTTCCAAGGCACATAGGTGATTTGAATGTTCCCTTTGGTGTAGTTGCATATCTTGTTGTGAGAACACATCATTCTCTGATAGCAATACTTTTGCATAAAACAGGCAGTCCAACTTGTCTGTACAGTTAGTCCGCTTAATGGGGCTTGTTCCAATGCAAATGCATAGGACTGAAGCCTTAAAAAGTGCCTGTACACCTGGAATTTCAGCAAGCAGACAAGATGCTATCCAACATTCAGCTTTTTCTTCTGTTCAAGTCTCCTTGCCCAGATTTAGTCACTACAAATAAATCTGATATGCCTTTTGGGGGAGGGGGGTAGAATTGGCAAAGCATCATTAAAAGCTCAGCATCTGACACTAAGGTACATAAGTACACAAAGTGAGAAAAAAATTAAACTATCTTAAACTGCAGTCTTCTAGAGCAGCTAGAGGGGCACTGAACTAGCTTCCAAGATGTGGAAGTGCCAAAGCTGTATGCATACAGTCTTTTTGCTGACTTGGAGATTTTCCTCAACTGATAAGCTCTTAGTGGTACATTTTGTTTTAGGAGCATTCTGTTCACTAATATATTATAAACTCCAAGCCAGCACACCACTGCTTTGCAATGTCAAGGATACCTCTCTTAAGAATTATCAAAAAACAGAGCCCAGATTATACAGAAATTCCCTTTTCTCTTTCATCACTTTTACCCCTTGAAAAGAAAGCAATTCTCCCTGTTCCATTCTTCTGATATACTAAATATAAAGGTGTGGGTGGGGAAAAACAATGAAGATTTGATTCACCTATGTGAACAATTTATGCATAAAAGTGGGCTTCTTTTGGTAAAAATCTTCATTATTTGCAAACAAAACTTTTTTAAGAATTTAGTTTTTTGCTCCCCCCCCCACCCTTACTTTTTAATTATTTTCTGCTTCATACCTGATTAAGGGAACTAATGTTTTTTCCAGGGCCATGGCAAACTAATATCCCAAAGGCCTTATGGCTCAAGATTGCAAGATAAAAAATTTCAAAACTGATAACACACGTAAAAAACCCCAAACCCTACATTTAAAAAAAGAAAAGAATACAATTCAAGTATAATCTTTAGGTTCTTTAAGCGACTGTGTGTACACAATAGGATTACTGGGTTCTCCCGTTCATGAATCTAAGATTTTAAAAGTTCCGATACTTTTATAAAGCCACCTGTTGCACATCACTCAACTCAAAGAATGAGCTTCAAACAACTGAATTCTTAATCTTCTCATCTCTGGTGCATTAAGCTTGAGGTTCTCCTTTTGCACCTCAAGAATGAGGACACAGAATTGTTATGCCTCCTTTGCACCTCAAGAATCTTAGAGCCATAAAGGTCACCAACTGCTTCTACAAATGCAATTACCTCCTTGTTCTCCTTTCTTGCAGAACCTTTTGTGTTCCCCCTTTCCCTCCCTATGATTGGAAGAACATAGTGTGGTTCTAAGTGGTTCTCTTTAATACAAGAGGGATGCACAAGAGATCTCCCCAAGAACTTACTGTTTGGAAAAGGACCCATTCTAAGGAGGCAAATCTGGGCAATGATTTTATCTTCTTGGAAACCCTGAAAGGTGTGAATAGATAGTGGCTGTCCAGATGGTGGCTGAGGGAGACAGAACAGAAAATGGCCGAACTGCCCAAGAGGAGGGTGGCTCTTGTTCTGCAAAAGTTAAGGAGAGCACTTCATACAATGAGTAGGTCCATGATGAATAACTTACCCAACACATACAAATGCCTTTGCAGAAGGCATGCTATAGGAGGATCTGGATATCAGAGACTGAATAAAGTATCTTTAAAAATATATTTTTTCACCTAAAAATGAATATAGATGTAGTTGTGATTCTGCCTGTGTGTGCTATTTTATGTACACATGTGAGTGGCAATTAGCTCTTATGGTCATGACCAAGCTATATTTCAGAAGAGAAAAAAAAAAAAAAAAGAATACACTTATCACACTTTCCTAAAACGAAAAGCTAAAAAATTTCAAGTTCAGTATATTTCGAGATCTTGTCCTTCCCACCCTGCCCTCTTGTAACTTCTGGGTTTGTTTTTCCCCTTCCAACTTACATTAGCACCATTAACAACATTTAAACATTACAATCCCTCTTCAGTTACTAGACACACACAAAATGGTCCCATTAAAAATAGTGCTTTTCTGCCAAAAAAAAAAAAAAAGTTATATATAATATATATTTCATATAATTCAACTAAATCTGTGGCAAATGTGCAATGCAGACGCCTCCGCCATTAAAGTGAACTTACGTTCACCCAAACTCTTTCACTTCATCTGTGATTTTTAAAGGTGCAAGTACATTTTGAACTGTGTAATTAAAAAAGGTAGTGGGCCTCATCATTTCATCGCTAGCTTTTAAAATGTGACAAAAAAAAAACACCCCTCAACTATATCAATTGTGACTTATAAAACAATAAAATGGGGTAAAGGTTAGGCCAACCTTTAAAACCTCAGATTTTGTTTCCCTTCCTTTTCTTTTTACTGTCAGTTGAGACATAGAATTTGGCCTTCTTTTCATGCCATGATCTTCTCTTGCTCTGTCTTCATTGGTTAGTATATGGACTGAAAGGCAGGTCTGTTATTACATAGTTCAAGTGCCTTAGCTGTCCCTGTTAAATTCAAGCTGAAAATACTGGGTAGGAAAGTACAAAGCCAACCAATAGATTAAAAAAAAAAAAATTAAAGACAATGCCACAAAAATGCTGCTGCCACCGCCGATGTTATAATCCCACTCTTTTGGTGTTCCCGTGCCCCTTTTCCTGTTGTTCCTTGGTGTGAAAGGACATTTGCTCTCTCCCCTCTGCCTTGGTCTGGAAGAGAGAAAAGGCTGGGGCCGGACCTGGAAAACACCTCCCACGAGACTGGGAAAAAATAATAATAATAATAAAGAGTCACTTTTGCAAATTGTTCATCACAGTTCACTTCTGGCTGCCTGACGTTTCTGAGGTGGTGTGCACAGCCAGAGGTGTCTGCGTCGGCAGGACAACCAGCGGGCGATGGTTCTTGGACTCCTCAGACTCCTGCAGTCCTTCAGTTTGCCATCGATACCTGCGGGCACGGAGGACGTTGGGAACTCCCCGCTGAAGGCGCTGCGGGCTCTTCTTCTGCCAAATGTCGTATTTTGAGTACTTGACATGGGAGGGCTTTTGAAAGATATCCTGAGGGAAAGGGGGGAGAAAGGGCAAAGGAGGATCAATTCGCTGATTGCAGTGATGAACTTAAAGGGTACTGACTGTCACTGGGCTATGATGTCACATGGTTAGACAGAAAGAACTGAAACAGCAGAAGCTGCATTCATTTGGGGCAACTTAACACTTGCCATGGCTTTTCCTCGTATCTCCCTTTCTTTATGCCATTTTCTCCTGGAAACACTGGGAAAGTTTTATGCCACACATACCCAAGAGCCTTAAATAAAATTGAATAGTTTATCCACATTCATTGTATACCCATTTTTGAGCCAAACTAAATTACATAAATTACAGTTGTTGAGAATCGGTCAACATACAAGTTTAATTTAGTAGTAGTAGTCCTCGCTTAGCGACCACAATTGGGGCTGGCAACTCTGTCATTAAGTGTCACAGTTGCTAAATGGAAAATCACATGACAGTGACAGCCTTACAACCTCACTTCCCCTTTGGTTGTTAAGCGAAACATCACATGACCATGGCTTACGATTTTACTTCTGCTTTCCCTATTAACTCTGCTTGTTGCAAGGCAGCTGCAAAGCACACAAATGGTGATCATGTGACCACAGGATGCTGCAATGGTCATAAATGTGAGGATTGGTTGCAAAACTTTTTTTTTTTTTTTTTTACCACCACCGCTAAGCAAGGCAG